GAGAGAGAGAGAGAGAGAGAGAGAGAGAGAGAGAGAGAGAGAGAGAGAGAGAGAAAGAGAGAGAGAGAGAGGGAGCAAATGGTGAGCCCAATCAAACAAGTTCATGACACATGTAGCATCAAGGTAATTTACCTCAAATCTGTCTGGAGGCCAATCAAGTTTGCACGAGGCTGCAATCATCCTTGCAACGACGCACTGCTCGTTGAAGATTGGCAGTTGTACTGTGACGAAGGGGAAACCATAGGGTAGATCAGTTAGAGACCCAGGCCGCGGTGCCTTCCGCTTTGTGAGTAAGAACATGAACGCCTCGAAGAGTTTATGATAGCCCAGAATTATTAGCATCATCAGACAGAAGTAGTAGAGTGAAGAGACCCCCACAGCTATCCAGTCGAAGGCCTTCAAGTCATACCATGGTCCTCCTTCTCCACTCTGACACAGGGAACGGTACGTCCCTACCGTCTCTTGTTCGCTCTCGTTCCTTGTCAGGCTGAGGAGGGTCACTCCCGCTGCGATGGTTTCGATTCCATCACAGTCTGCGTAAACACAGTGGCAATCCGCCTGCCATCCCAAGACACCGACATAGTTGCTTTCATTCGCGCGCTTATAGATTTCTCCGATCGACAAGCCAGTTCCCCAACTTGATGTTGCAGCGATGAGCAATGGACGGTCCAGATCAAACTCGTCAGCGGAGATGGAGATTGGGCCGATGATCCCATTCAGGCGACTGCTGTTACCTTTCCTTGTGAAAGCGTTGACGCTGTAAAAGTCGAGAACACCTTGCGACTTGTTGCCGTGCCTGCAGAGGACGGAAGAACACGCGATAGAAGAAGAAATCACCCATCACGATAAGGATCAGATGATTCGGGGTTTAGGGTTTAGGGAATCAGTTTGAACCTCATACTACCAGTCAGAGAACTGCCCACATGCTGGGCCCGATCACTATCGCTCGTGAAAGCATCGACACCGTAAGAGTCGAGAATGCATTGCAACTTGTTCACATACCTAAAGAGGGATGCATCAACACACGATAGGACAATCGCCCATCATCATAAGGGTCATATGATTCAGGGTTTCAGGTTTAGGGGAACCCCCAAAAAACCCGTACGAACAAACATACATGGTACATACCAGATGGAAGAACACATGATAGACAAAAAATTGCCAATTGTAAGGACCATGACATCGTTTACGGCTGTGTAGCACGGCGAACATCCGCGGACACAAAGAAGTGGCCCGCAGACAGCTTTTCTGTGAGCATGTGGCAGGGTTGGGGGGGGGGGGGGGGGGGGGGGGGTTGACCTGGGGGGGTGGGGTACCAGGGGGGGGGGGGACGGGAGAGAGAGAGAGAGAGAGAGAGAGAGAGAGAGAGAGAGAGAGAGAGAGAGAGAGAGAGAGAGAGTCTTCTCCTGGAACACAATGCACCTCCTCCTGATTATGGCTGTACCGGAACGGAAA